CGGGGGGTCCCACCCTTGTCCCCGGCAGGGCAGCTCACGGGGCCCTCTCGCCCTGACCCGCCCGGCCTCGCTTTTTGGCTTCTAAACTCTTCTGTTGTCTCCCGTGCTGCTGATCTCTGCTCCACGTCTAGGTTCCCAGGGTTTGTTTTCCCCTGCCTGGGGGTTCACCCGGTCCAAGAGGTTTCTCCGGGGGAGCAGCGCAGCGTCACTTTGAAGGTAAAACACGGGCAAGTCAGACGAGTGCAGCTAGAAAACACTGCTGGGAGCGCTCAGGGCAGGCGACAGGATGCTCCGGTCTGCTTGATTTAGCTTCAGGTCTGCCCAGTGATTTTTCTGCACCAGCGTAATACAGAAGACCCAGCAGGCCAAATCACAGGGTCCCTTAGGACATCCGTTTGTTCACATTGCCGTTAGGATTGTTTGCTGGAGTCGTCTGGCCGTGGTACTGCAGCGAAACAGTTCTATAGATCCCAAGTGAGTAGGATTTGCTTACAGTGAGCAGGGCACATATGGGTTTGCAGATGTCCCTTTGTTGGCATGGGAAGTAGAAGGTGACCATTTGTGCCCTTAGCCCAAAAAACTTGGAGAGCTGTCTGCAGCTTTCTGTGGCCTTTGTTTTAGTTACCCCTTCTGTTTCTGTGCAAAGATAATTTGAAACAAAGGATCATTAAGTAAACAAGGGAAATCCTGCATGTTTTTAAAATCTGACACACAGCTCACAGTAATAGCAAGTTTTAAGGTACAGAATTTAAGAACAATGAAGGAATCTCCAAACTTGATTGTGATGCTGAGTTTGTGCTCCTTCCATCTTGAAAGGGCAGCTAAGGGTACATCTTTCATTTGTTCCTTGCAGGACCTGGATGCTGCATTGCCACTTATAGACCTCTACCAAGATAAATTGGTGGGGATAGGAGAGGTGAGCATAATTCTGTAACTTGCTGAAATGTCTATGGCTTCAGCAGCATCTGTCACCAGGATTGCAATAAGTTAGTGCATACTGTACTGGGTTTTGTCTATGGAGTATTGCTATCAGTCTGAGCAAGTGCTGAGTCTGATAATGTAGTTCTCTTAATGTGCTTTCCTTCATAGATTTTCCTGATTCCCACCTTTCCTTCATTATCGTTTTTAGGTAATAGATGGCATTTATGCTGGTGGATTTAGTAGAAAGAATTGCATAATTATACTATATTGTCCTCTGCCCAAATGCCTTTTTACCTATCCTCTGGCACAGTGAAGTGTCAAGTCACATTGTTATCCTCGTTCAGATAATTTGTGCCCTTTTCCTTGACAAAGTCAGGCAAAGCTGTGAGTTCAGTATGCCTCACTGACTCGTACAGTTCTTTTTCCTTGTGATCTCTCATCTGTTTGTATCCATGTGTTGTCTCCTGTCTTGCATTTGTTTATAAGCTTTATAAGCTAACTGAGGCTTGAAAGCTTTAGAGTAGAGTCTGCCTCTTTTGTGTATTGGTACCAGAGGGACTTTTGGCTGATACTGCAGACAAAGCAGTTCCTGGCAGAGCTCTGTAGCTGAACTTGCTGTGCTGTACTTGAACTGTGTGTCAAGGACTTCGGTTGGTGTAACTGTGAATGAGGCTGCACTTTAAATTTTGCCTCAGCAAGTTTAAATTAAAAAAAAATTAAAATGAATGGGGAATTTTTGCTAGAATTAGGAGTAAAGCTACAGTTTTCAGTTCAGAAATTTTACTTGTATTGGAGATCCATATGCGAGGTTTACTCTGGAATAATTTTCAGTAGTATACAAGCCCCCAGAAAGCCATTTGCAGATTAAAATGTTTAATACACTTGTCAGTAAATGCCCACAAATGCTTCCACAGTTGAAAAGCTTATGGTTGACAATGGATTCCTTTCTGAGTGAAGCTAGAGTTGAGCTCATTTTAATTGCAGGCTCTAGTATGTATATTCTGAAATACTTTGCAGTTTTGAAGCATTTTTTGCATCAATATATGATACTGTGATTTAGTCAAGTGTTAGGTCTGTAAAATTTTTTTCCTTCTCTTTTTGCACTGTAGGTTGGACTAGATTTCACTCCCAGATTTGCCAGCACGGATGAACAGAAGGAAGGACAAAGACAAGTTTTGATCAAGCAGATTGAGTTAGCAAGAAGACTGGATTTGCCTTTGTATGTTTTCCTTATAGTAATAGGACAATTTGCCAGATCTCAGTAACGTGTGGAAATATTTCCCAGGATTTGTATTTGCTGAGACCCCATGGAACTTTTCTTACATGGATTAAACTGGCATTAGTGTCCTGTCAGTCTCTAGTTTGAGATTTAATTATAGAATTTTCCCTATGTTTGCACTTGAATTCAGTGCTCTGTTGTTGCTGTATCTTCACTGTAGCTAAACTGATTCATATATACGTCTCTAGATTTTTTTTCCTGATAGAAGGTGTGATACAGATTAATTACTTTCTTCTCAAGCTGCATTTCATTTGTGTTTACAAAAAAAAAAGTGTTGATTTCTGAATTTCCTAATGCTGACCCTCTCCTTGCTGTGCAGAAATGTCCATTCCCGCTCTGCCGGAAGACCAACCATTAATCTCTTAAAGGAACAAGGTTTGTTTTAAAGGCATTTTCTCTGTCATGGCTTTTGTCAACAGAATTGCTTCAGTTATGCCATGTCCTCACATCAGTTTGGGTACATGAAACTTGGGGGAGTAGTGCAGAGATTCTGTATTCATTCTTTATAGGACTGAGGTCCCATTGGAAGCTGATGTCGCAGACCTGCTGCTAATGGTTTGGTTTGCTTCTTTTCTCTGAGGTGCTACGAAGGTGTTGCTCCATGGATAGTAGTGCAGAGATTCTGTATTCATTCTTTATAGGACTGAGGTCCCATTGGAAGCTGATGTCGCAGACCTGCTGCTAATGGTTTGGTTTGCTTCTTTTCTCTGAGGTGCTACGAAGGTGTTGCTCCATGCGTTTGATGGGAAGCCATCTGTAGCCATGGAAGGGGTGAAAGCTGGATACTACTTCTCCATTCCTCCTTCTATTATAAGGAGTGAACAGGTAGCATTTAAAGGGGTTTGCTCTTTCTTGGTGCTTGGGGATTGCAGGTAGTAGCTGACAGGTTATGATGGTGGCAAACATGACTGTTTTCACTGTGCAGCTCAAGAATATGGTTGGGTTTTTATGTCTGTACAGTTTGAAGTAGGACTAGGAGTACCTGTGTACAGTTGCTGTCACCTGACAATAGAAGTTTCAGTTGCTTACAGCGTTGTACCTGTTTGCTTTGGCTATATTTCTACCTGGGGCTTTTACCTTTGCTGCACTTTTGGGGGGAAAGTGGTTCAGCTATTCCTGAGAAACAGGGGTTAAGAAAACAGTCTTCTTTTGTTGTTGTGTTGTTTTTTTCCCTGGCTTCAGTGTGGTTTCTGGTAAGGTCTTTGGAAGCTTCTGTCCTTGTACTGTTTTAGAGTAGGGACATGACATGTGGAAAAGGACTAGTTTTTATCTCAGTGCTATGGGACTTTCTGTTCCAAAGGAAATCTGCTCACAATTGGCTACGTGACAGACCTTTGAAAAATTGTGATTATCACAAGGTGTGCCCAGAAAAGAAGCAGCTAAATTGCTTAAAAATAACATAGGTCAGGTTCAGCCCTTGACTGTGGCAAGTCTGCGCATTTTATTTCTGCTCTGGGCTGCCACAAGTTATGCAAACTTCTTATTTTGGGGTAGCAGTGTGTTTCCATCTTGCACCAGCACCATCATCCCTTTCTGTAAGAAGCTCTGAAAACATGAGAGAAAAACTTGTGATTCAAATGGAGGGCATGCAAGGGATGGATATAGATGGGGATGAGGTTAGGGGTTTGGAGAAAGGAAAGCAAACTGGGGTTGAGGGTTAAAACCAGATATGGGAAAAAAGTGCACATTATATATATATATATTATATATATACACACACATAAAAATAGCATTGGAATGCCATTTGGAACGCACTGACAACTCTAAATACAGAGTATTTTGTGCAATGTAACTACATGATTTAATAACAATGGATTTAGTGTTTAGATAAGGTATTTCAGATACTTAGAACACAGGATCATCCTAATTTCAAGGGGCTTCTTGAGGAGCTCCTGGTATTATTGCTTCCTTTCTGAAATTGTCAATAAAATGCAGACAGAGACAACAAACTATTTTGACATTGTATTTAAATGCAGAGGATACAAGTGCATAAAGCATTTAACAGCTGTCTTATTTTCTTCAAGAAGCAGAAGCTCGTGAAAGGCACCATCATCCCTTTCTGTAAGAAGCTCTGAAAACATGAGAGAAAAACTTGTGATTCAAATGGAGGGCATGCAAGGGATGGATATAGATGGGGATGAGGTTAGGGGTTTGGAGAAAGGAAAGCAAACTGGGGTTGAGGGTTAAAACCAGATATGGGAAAAAAGTGCACATTATATATATATATATTATATATATACACACACATAAAAATAGCATTGGAATGCCATTTGGAACGCACTGACAACTCTAAATACAGAGTATTTTGTGCAATGTAACTACATGATTTAATAACAATGGATTTAGTGTTTAGATAAGGTATTTCAGATACTTAGAACACAGGATCATCCTAATTTCAAGGGGCTTCTTGAGGAGCTCCTGGTATTATTGCTTCCTTTCTGAAATTGTCAATAAAATGCAGACAGAGACAACAAACTATTTTGACATTGTATTTAAATGCAGAGGATACAAGTGCATAAAGCATTTAACAGCTGTCTTATTTTCTTCAAGAAGCAGAAGCTCGTGAAAGTGTTACCTCTGGAAAGTATGTGCTTGGAAACTGACTCTCCTGCTTTGGGGCCTGAAAAACAGGTACGTGATGGCAAGGAGGGACTTTTATGTATGTCCATCCAAACCCATGCTTTATGGAGGTCACTTCCTGGGATGGAAGAGTGAATTAGTGTAAGCATTGGTACAAGGGACAAAAGAAAACTTTGAAATTGGCAAGTCAGTGTTCCTGAGGCTGGGAAAGGAAAATAAATTCCAAAAACAGACAAAGGGGAGCATAATCCTAGAATAGCTACGTGTAGTTTTTCTGGCACATGTACTCCAATGTGACTGAAGTTGTGTCAGAAAGTACTGAATCTGAAACATCTGTGATCTGCAGGGATCTGTAATTTGGTCTGTTTGTTTTCAGGTGAGAAATGAACCAAAAAATATCCACATTGCTGCAGAATATATTGCCAGGATTAAAGGAATTCCAGTTGAAGAAGTTGTAGAAGTGACAACACAGAATGCACTGAAAGTATTCCCCAGACTTCGGAACTTTCTTCGGGTATAGTTTTGAAAGCTGAAATATGATATTGCAGAAACTATGGTATAATTATAAAACAAACATGCATCTTGTCTTGAAGTGGAGTTTTGCTGTTGGAAAGTTCAAGAAGTGAGCAGACTGTTACATAGATGCACAGGACAAATACAGGGAGTTTCTCAAAGACCTTTGGTCTGCACCGTTCTCATCTCTTGGATGCGATTAAGACAGGGTGTTCGTTTGCATCTTATGTTTCTGAATTCTTACGTTTCTGAATACTTTGTAAAGAAGAGCATCATAAAATTGTCAGTTTAGTTTCTAAGACTCCTTGTTTAGCAGCTCTTAGTTTGGGCAATGGCTAATGTGCAATGCTTCATGTCCCTCTCATTCCTTACTTTCTGCTGACTAGAAGTCTCACAGCTGTGGGCCCCCTCATCATACAAAGGCTCCTGGTGGGACTTGCAGACTGCACATCCCTTTCTAAACCATTAAAAAGCCCAGCTGGATGGGCATTCTTTGTATATTGTGCTGACTGGGGTGTGTGAGTGCTGCAGAGGCAACACCTCTGCTCTCTTCCAATATACAGCTGGGAGGAAAGAATTGTAGCCCATCTTCTCTCCTTTTCTTACAGTACAATACAATAACAACAGTTGCTAGATCTTGACTCTTTCTCAAAAGGTTTGCTTTGTTGTTGTTTTTTAATTATTTTTTTTTGTGAATCATTCAAAGGAAAAAGCCTGGGTTTGGTCTTACTTTGGGGACTTGCCCCTTCTGACTGATCAGTGTCAGAAGATATGGAACATGCTGTGGATTCTGCTACATTTGCCTAAAAACTGAGTCTTGCGTTCTCTCCCAGCACTTGTGTGGTTGTGGGCCTGCTTGATCAAATACTGATCAAAATGTTGCTCTTAAACCAGCAATGAATGTGGTGATACATGACATTAGGTTGTTTTGAAGGCCACTAGGGAAGCAGAGTCATTGTCTCCCTAGGAGGAGTTTTACTAGCTCAGTGAAGAAAATACGCAAATATTAACTTAGCCCAAGACCATCTCAAGTACAAAATCATGCATCATACCAGCCAACGGTGACAGTATTTGGCTTTAAGATTTCAGCACATCTTCTCTGTCTCGGGTACCTGTGTGATGTTTTTCAGAATATACTCCTTCCTGTCTTCCTAGTTAGAGCACCTTACTGGTTGTCCCTTGTCAAAATGGTTTGTAATGCCCTGTTGTGAAAGAATCTGATGCCTGCCTTCTGGGGTGTAGGGCTGCAAGGCACAGGTTTGGGGTTTTTTCCCATTTTGAGGAGCATGCAGGTGGACAAGGTATAAGCTCCCCAGTAGAAAAAAAAAGGGGGGGCGGGGAGCAAAAGCTTGTAGTGTAAGTGATGGCTATCTTAAAATTTAGGTTTCCTCTGAATTTTCTTCCTCAATTTCTTAAAAAACTGCCTTGTCAGGAGGGTTTTTTGCTGTCTTTAGCAGAACAGCTGTGTTGTTCTGCTTTTTGCCTGGAGTTAGCTTATTAAATTTAAACATATGTTCCTAAACAGTTTTCAGTCTGCAGCAAACAACCAAACTTGACTTATTTGTCTCTATTACAACGTGTATTCAAAGCAGCAAACACCTAAGTATTTGCTGAACGTGTGGGCCAGAGTAATTAGAGCCATTTGTTGTCCTGGTTCTACAGCACCATTTCCACTAAATTGGGTAAAGGACAGAGTTTTCCTCCAGATGGTGCTAAGGAACAGGTGTGTAATAGTCCTAAGAATATGACTGATCGACATTCATGATTAATAATCGTGATGTTGGAGGTGCTAAATGGGTGATACCAGGCAGCCTTACACGTGCTGCCTTTGGGAAGGGAAAGGTGCCCAGTCAGTCAGTGTCCAAATGTTTACAGAGTTTTGGACTTACTCTCTTACGAAATTCTTAGCCTTGGATGAAAGCACTGGTTTTGCAAAAAGGGGAATATCAAGTATTTAGTTTGCACAAAATCACTGTTTCTGTAGTGGGGTGGCATTGCTGTGGTCCAGGTTTAGCCTGGTGGTCGAATTATACCTGGCCTGAGCTCTTGAATTCCTTTCCCTGCCACAAAAACCTGTAGACACACACATCCTGCAGCTCCCAGCTGCATAGTGGGCTGCTGAGATTGGCCAGCCCTGCATGGGCCCTGGGGGCCTTGTGATGGCACAGGAGTGTGGCTGGGGAGTGAGAGATGGAGTTGCTTCTCCCTGGGCAAGGGAAGCCTGGCACGGCAGCAGCTGTGGGTAGAGCAAGACAGGCAGGGCACCCGTGGTGAAACAGACCCACTTTGTCTTCTCCACAGACCTGCAGTGCCTGAGCTAAGTCGTGGTGTAGGCGGTCTGGCACTCCAGAGAAGGAAAATGCAGTGTCATTCCCAGCCTGCCTCTGCATCCCTAGCAGCAAACAAGGGTCAGAAGGAGCACCCTCTCCCCCGTGCTGCCACTTTTGTTGCACGAGCTGTGCCCAGCTGCCTGTGGCACGTCCCTTCCTACATAACACAGGATACTGGAGCGGTCAGGGATGTACTAGGGGAAGGACACAGTGCAAATTTGGCTAGATGCTGTGTTTAGCTTTTGGGAAGCCTGAGGGGAAATGAGAGAGAAAGCACAGAGTTAATGGAGACTGAAGTTTTCAGCCATGCCAGTAAGTCTGGGGGACACTCAGAGCCCTGGTGACTTCTGGTCTGCAGCAGTATGGAGAGTGGTAGGTGCCAAGCTCCATCTGGTACCTTTAGTTATCACCTTTCCTTGGGATGTTACAAACAGCAGATCTGATTGCACTCTGTAGGACTCCTCATGTCCCTCTATCTTGCAGGATGAACATGATGTGAGAGAAAAATCAAGAGAGGTTTGTGATTTCTTTGGCATACTGAGTGCCTTGCTCATTGCTCAGTATGCTGTTATTGATGCCGCTCTGACTGGTACAGCTTCTGCCAGAAAAAAAATGCTCCACGTCATTTGGTTATTTCCAGGCTTAAAATAATGCACATAGGTGTAGTATGTGCACTAGGAACTCCCACGCATGCAAAGGGTTACAGTGAGTGCATAGCTCAACACCAGGCATAAATAATGAGGGGGATGCAGGGTGATGGTAATAATGTGAAGGCACTTTCCATAGGCTGAGATGCAGAGCTTGTAGATCTAAAGAACTTTTAAAGTGGATTTGTCTGTTTATAGAGACAAACGTGCCATAGAGACAATGGCTACCAAATCACCTAGAGTACTTTGCACCTTCTGTGTTCAATGAGCACCTTGAATCAGTAGCAGAGGCAGGAAAGACACTAATTGCAATTTCTCAGCTGGCTGGTCTTGTTGCCTTTTTGCCACTCATGCCAAGCTGTTTGCAGAACTCAAACAAGACTGAAGTGACTTGCAAGAGTGGAATGGCTATAGGAGAAGAAAAACATTCAGTGTAAATCACTTGAACCCCTCAGATACTGAAAATCCCCTCTGAGTTCAGGACTGACAGCTAAGAGTCTGGCTAAGGGCTCTGTCTGTGCTCAGTTTTTGGAGGGCTGCAGGTAGATCATCCTCCTAGGGCCTTTCTTATGAAAGCTGGTTTCAGTCATGGACTAATAGGGCCTGAATCTGCTGAACTCCAGCATGAACTTCAAGGGTGATAAGTTTTTCCTCATTTCGACATGGGAACAAGTGAGGAGACAGTAATGGGGCCAAGTGGATGATAAGCTGTTTAATCTTACTGTTTGTTGTGATAAGAGTTTAAACAAATTGACCAAAGACTTTTACTGGAGGTGCTTCCCACAGGCTCCTATGCAATGCATAGATAGGCCCTTTAGAGGCAAAAGCAAATAAATAATTGGCTGGAAATGCAACTTTCATCATTAATGAGCTTCTCCTTTTGTTTGTTTTTTCATTAATGCAGGCTGAGGTTTGAGCCTCTGTTCCTTTTGCAGAGCAGGAAAATGAATTTGAGAGTCACTGTCTTGGCAGAAAGGATTATTGTAATTCTCTTTACTTTCTATATGCAGTACAAAGATACAGCTGAGATCAAAGAAAGGATATAAATTGCCCTAGCACCTAGTAGTTGTCTCAGCATTTTCCTCTTCAGCAGGTGATTATCCATTCATTTCCTCTGCTGGGGCTGGCTTTTCTCTATCCATGTGGATGGGTTGGGGCATGGGCATGATAACCCTCACTGCCCTGCATGGTGGCCCCCTCTTTGAGCTATTGTGGATGACAAAACAGTGAGAAAATTCAGAGGGGATGTTAGGGACCTTAGCCCAGAAAATTCCAGTGCTATTAGGGTTCAGAGACCCACAAAGCCTACAGCTCCAGGGACACCAGGGCTGGACAAGGCACGCCAAGGGGAGCACAGCACTGCACCAACATTGCTCCCACCACACCTTTCTGATTTGCACCACCCATGGTGCTGGGGACTTCAGCCTCAGCTTGGAAAATTCCAGTACCATTAGGGTTAAGGTTAGGGTTCAGAGAGCCACAAAGCTTACAGCTCCGGGGACACTGCTCACGGCCCTGATGAACCTGTGCCATGGGCAAGAACTGATGCCCATCTCCCCATATGCTCAGTGCTGTGCCAGCTGAGATGGTGCCAGCAGGTTGCCTAACACGAACACAGGAAAGCAGTTTCACAACTGCGCCTGGGTCCGCTGATGAAAATGGTGGTGTGGTTCACCTGAAAAAGCAGAAACAAGGAGGCACTGGGATGAGGAGTCTTGTAAGAGCCAGGTGCAGCCCCTCTGCCCTAGGAAACAGCACAAGGAGCAGCGCCAGCATCCGGCTCGACTGCTGCAGAGGGCTTTGTTGCACAGAGCTGCTGGTGTGTGGAGGGCCTGTCATGTAGTGAGTGCACAGGTGGCATCAAGGACTTTAAGGCAAAGATGAAAAAAGTGCAGAGACATGGCACATGCACAGAATAGGAAGATCTGGCCTGTTTTCTGTGGGCTGTGGTCTGATGAGCAAGCTACTTCTGCAAGGGTGCTTGGTGACATATCTGATGTCCTGCCAAAGTGACAATCAACATCAAAATATATTGATTTTATCTGCCATGCCTCACCATGCTAATATATCTGTGTACTCTGCCTTCAAGGCCAGGCAAGGCAGCTGTGTAACATCCAGAGTCAGTGGCTGCACACAGACAAGCCTGGCCTACCACTGCAGAGCACTGGCACCACAGTATGGCTGAGCAAACCTTCAGCTTCCCAGCAGAGCAGGGAGTAGAGCTGCCTGAAAGAGCATGAAGCAG